CGGGGTTTGGTTCACTTGAATGCCACTTAGATTTTCCTTTATCAGCCATGTTGATGATGACTTCAAGGAATTCATCCTCTTGAATAGCAAGTTTATTGCAGAAATGTCCCGGCTTGGGCTTTGACATTTCGGTGAAAAGTCTCTGGACCATTGAGACTATTTGCGGGGTAGCTTCTCGTTTGGAGTAATCATCTTCCGACAATACTGCTCTAATGAGTCACACACAGGAACAATAAGAGTTTATTTTTTGAATAATTCTCTTTCGAAATCTATTCAAACCCACAATTTGATAGTATGATTCATCGGTATGATTGCCGGAAAATCCTATTGTCTGTTGGTATGACCTCCCAGGCATAACGATGTCTTTTGGCGAACACGTCTTCTTCTGGGGGTGTAAAACCTTGTTGGCATTCTCAGGACAAATTATTGTTACCTTTGAGCGATCCAATGTTATTTCAGGAGTCACACGTTTGGAACTACCCCCTTGCGGGTGTGGAGTCTTAACGGGCTCCGAATGCTGATTTTGCACAACTCCGGACTTTGGAATCCAAACTTTGCAGAATTTTGGTGGTTCTTTGGCCACCATCTCCTTGTTTCTTGCTCGTCTTTGTTGTAAGAGAGTACGGGCATGAGCAGCGTTTGCCCGACGCTTTTGTATACGTTCTTTGAGGGTCGAGCGCGCCCTTTTGACGAAAGTCCATTCATCTGTCATTAATTTAGCAGAGGTATGAGTTATTGGTCGTTGAGACAACTGAACCACTCGATGCCTCCTCGACTCTAGGTCCGCGTGATAACGAACCCCGTCGGTTTGTTCCAAGGCCTTAGCCATTTGGCGAGCGCGGCGTTGGCGTTGTCTCTGACGAGCTCTTTTCGTCAATGCCTGCGGGCTTTGATTTAATGACTCCTTAGTTGGAGAAGAGTCATTATGAGCAGAGAGATTGCGAGTAGAATCCTCAGCAACAATTAAGCGAGAGTCTTCATCTGTAGTGTTTGACAACTTCAACAAAGATGAAATCTTCCTGCATTTGCGAGGCGAGGAAGACTTTACAGATGAGGATGACAAATACTCCTCAAACTTCGCTTGGTCGAACTCGTACTCGATCGTTGATTCAACCGGGATCTTGATGGTTGGCTGCGACACGACGGTCTCGGCAGCGAGACCGTTGGCTCCCACTGTGGTCGCCAGCTTGTTTGCGTCAAAAGTTGGTTTTGCTGTGGAATTAATTATATCTTCGATCGATTATAATAAATTCAAAGAAATAGTCTTTTTATAAGACCTCTTTTACACAACAAAATGAAAATTAAACTTTTTAAGAAGGCAAATCCAGGATCGTTGTTTGGCCTGCTTGCGTGGAATCTTCGCTGTGTCGGGTGTCGTTAGCCGTGCGCCAGCAATCACAGTTCTGATTGAATCTGAGGGGTTAATGATTCTTCCTTCGTTTATCGGAATGAGAAATTTGAACGGTATATCTTATGCAAAGTAAGATTCGTCTTCTTGAATCGTCAGCTCGAATCTCAAGGAATTGCCAAAGCTCAGGACTTGCTCTGTCTGCTCGGCAAAGTGCTCGATAGAATATCAGCCTCTTCAAAATCCGATCTCAGGCGGGTCATTGTATAGCCTCCAGGATGAACAGTACTTCGCGAGAACAGTGTTTACTGTTCTCGGTGAGGCCGAGACAGTAAATACTGTCTCGGAAACAGTAACTGTCTGGCAGTTTTCGTTTTAACTGCCTTCCCACGTTTTAAAACTCCGTTATTTTGGCAGTTGTCAACGTGATTCTCGCCCACAACGTTTCCCATGTTCTTTGGCAGTTAATAGCCACGTGTCGGCGGTTTATAAAACAGTTTCTGAGCCTTCGAGAACCTGTCTCGCGGGCGAGACAGTAAAGACTGTCTCGCGGGCGAGACAGTAAAGTCTGTCTTTTTCTTTGATTTTTCGATAATCTCCTTTTGAGCTGCGCTTGGATATCTTTCAGCATTTTTTGACGCCTACAACACCCTAATAGTAACTTGGGTTAGGTTAAAACTAGAACAGTTCACTGGGTTGATTAGATTTATGATTTAACAGTATCTTAAGCCATGTTATTTTGTTCTGACGCCCTCGAAAACTTTGTCAATCAAGTTATGTTTCATAACCCTTTATCTTGCAATCTCTTTAGTCGCAATTTCCTTATCCCTGGTCTCTTGGATCTCTTTATTGCTTTATGTGACAGAAGAACTAAAGAGTTTAGAGTTGGAGTCATGAAGAGATGAGCTAGGGAAATCTCATAATTTGCCATGTACATTTCGAAGTTTGGGGTTTTGTCATATTAGACCCCCAAATCTTTGTTTAACTCTATATTATTTCCTCAGTTCTATACATTTCTAAATTAGATCCCAAATCTTTGTATAGGTTCGAAATTGGGGTCTTATTTAAAACAACGGTCTTATTTAAACAACTTAATAGATTTCGGGGTCTTATTTTAAACAACTTACTGAATTTGACGGTCTACTTTATAGATATGAAGATTTTTTGAACAATTCTAGAAATAAAACATTGTCGATCAGTAGATAAAATTGTTAACTTGAGTTGGGTAATCCTGAAAGCTGATTCCATAGTTTGAGTTTCCTGTGTGCCATTATTATGGACAAATGGGGAGGGGATTCATACTTTTAATGAATGATTTTTTTTAAAAAAAATTTCCTCCCTAAGTCAAATTAACTTGATAGGTAATGATCAACGTGGCAAGTTGCCTATTAATATTATTTTATATTTGCAAGAAGGCACGACTCTGTTCCCCTAAAGACGTGAAGAGGAATATGTTTAAGCCATACACGTGGATGCCACTTAATTATTAATTAATAAACATTTCCAGCCTTCAATTTGTCAAAATGAGATTATTCTTTCGGCCTTAATTCGAAGTTGTATATATTTTAATGCTCGTGACCACCGGATCCTAACAATACGTCAAGCTGCACGTGCGCTCCTTGCCTTCAGCGCCTGCGTGCTTTGACAAAATCCACTGGATCCAGAGCTCATCCTCTCTCCTCCTACAAACTGTAACAAACCTTTTTATTTTCTCGACAAAGCCAGCTCTTCACTTCTCTCCCCTTCACTCCTCCTCCATCTAAAACCTCAACGACTCAACCTACGCCCCCCCCACACCCACCCACCCACCCATCCCAAAAAAATATGGCCTCTATTGGCGCGCCAATGTCCCCCCCCACATAGCGTCTTCGCCTTTCCCTTCGCGTCTCACCCGGGAACCTCTTACCTTCACCTGCATGCTTGCCACCGCCGCTCCAACCGCCACCTTCTCGTTCTTCTCTCCGCGCTCACTGTCCCCCTCTCGTCTGCCGGAGCCTGACAACGTCCGCCTATATTGTTTTTTTTGACGACGGCGCCCCGAAAAAGATCGGTGATAATGTGGCGGAGCGCATTGGGAAGCTTGTGGAGTGTGCGGCACGCGGGAACTTTTGGGGGGAATTAAGGCGCGGAAAGAGACGCCGGAGGGGAGAAGGTGAGCGTGTTGTGAGCGATGCTTTCCTCTGGATGGTGGGAGGTGGCGGAGGAGATGGGGGTGCCGTGGGTGGCGCTATGGACGTGCGGCCCGGGGGCCTCTTGGCCCATCTTTATACCGACCTCATCCGGCACAGGATAGGAGTCTTTGTATCCAGGTGTATATAAATTTCTTCTCACTGGTTGTTTAACGATATGATGTTGTTTTCTCAGTGTGGCAAATAGGAACAAGTCAATAATTTATCTTATTAAGATTTACGTGACCACTCGTTGCGGGATTAAGGCAGAATTTACGTTGCATCATATTTGCCTCTTTTATTCCCTAGTTGAGGTACCGAGAGATCTTGATCTGTTGGCTCACTGTATACCAACAAGAATGTATCCTTTTAAACAAGTACACTATTCATTAATTATTCTTAGATCTAGAATAGACATCGATTTGTTGCCACTGCAAATGCAGGGAGGAGGGTCCTTCCACTCTCTTCCTCGAAAGAGTAGCTAACAGTTTTAGTTTCTTACATTAATGATGATCAATAAATATCAACCTGTTAAATTCAATAAATTCTAGGTATTTATGCACTGATCCTAAGATTGATGGTGCTGTATATGTGCTCATATAAAATTGCTAAATATAATAGTATATGTCCTATTGTATTCCATTTCTTATCTCTCTCTCTCTCTCTCTCTCTCTCTCTCTCTCTCTCTCTCTCTCTCTTTATATATATATTATATATATTATATATATATATATATATATATATATATATATATATATATATATATATATATATATATATATATATATATATATATATAATATATATATATATATATACTCTCCCTCTCTCTCTCTCTCTTTTGATATTTCTATTTCTAATATTTGTGTGCGTGTGTGAGTTGAACTATATATGCTACTATTAATACTATCCAGCATGCGAATACTATCAACCCAATTTTAAAAATCAGAACCTAAAAATAAAAATATGAACCGGTAGATGTGATATACTGCACATGAACTAGTTATAAATAAAATTTTAAATGATTTCGACTTGTTTTTAATTATATTATATATGTTTTGAATTATATATGGAGAGGCGAAAAGTAAACAACTTCATGAAAATTCTAAAACATTAATTTTGACGACATTTTTTGCATGGGTTAATGATGACGAAATCCTTTAAAATTTTATTTCTAACTAGTTCATGTGTAGTAGATCACATCTACCAGTTTAGATTTTCAATTTTGGGTTCCGGTTTTCAAAATTGAGTTGATAGTATATTATCACCCTTTTTGCCTCTTAGAATTTCTATAGTAATTCTCCAGCTTGTATAAATATACTTCAATCATCGTTAATTTTGGCTCTCTGCGAACGCAGTTGATGAGGCAAACCGGGCCAAGCTAAACGAGACCCTCGACTTCATCCCAAGTCTCTCCGTCCTCAGCGTCTCCGACCTCCCCCACGGCATTG